CCACCTAGTGCCTTGTCTTATCAAGCTGCAGGGATGTTAGAAGACCATACCCCTAGTCTGTAACTGACGAATTAATTGTTTAACAAGATTAACAAGTTTTATATTACATTTTGAACCAAGTTAAAATTACATTGAGTAAAACAAATGAATGGTTCGAACTGATTGATTTCAAAACAAAATAAACGATTTCGTAGAAATATTTAAATCATATACTAACATCAATGAAAATCAAGGATGGAGAGATATCTATCGCATTAGTCAACAGTTTAAATTGCTGATATCTAATGACACCACTTCTTATTATGGTCAATAACCTTTATTATGACTATATTAATCAGTTGATACGGCAAACTATGATGCAAGACTTCACTTGGTTTCGGTCAATCGATCAATCGGACAGTCAGTCAGGAGACACAAAAGAAACTTTGGGAAGCTTAGTGCTCCACTAATGGCACCAACTTGTACGGATAAAGTTCTTTCTGGCTTCAGATACACATCAACTAGTATTCCTGATCTCCGGATTATTTATACTTATTCTCATATATATATCATTTAAATAGGATTTTATTTATTTATATGAATCAGAATTTTATTCCAGCTTATTTAAAGAAAACAACATAAACATCGCATACTGTCATTGTTGACCATCATATTGGATAATAATAATAGCAGATGTTTTTTGTTTCATTTTCGTTCTACTAACAAACAGAGTACAAATAATAAATTCAATTGGACTTTTTGAAAAAGGTCAAAATAGCTCTTCTTTCATACTCTGTCTTTGTTCAACATAAGCCTTAACAATGAAAATAATAAGAGGTTAATCTATTGTTCTGAAACATTTTTTTCTTGTTGGTCTTTTCTTTAAAAAAATCTGATTAATTTCCTCCTTTTTAAAAAAATATCATTTATATCTTTTTATTAACACCTATAACTACAAAAATAATACTCATTAACAATCTACTGTTATCTGTATGTATGTGTTCATCTAGTTATTCATTGCTAAACTATACAAGAAAAGTACAGAACAGAATTAACATAAATATGTAAATTTGCTTAGGACTTTCTACGTTGACAACAGGAAGTACCTTCAAGCATACTCCTTACTTACCTACATAGACACACATACACATGTATACGAACTCACATTTGCATAAAGAAGTGAAGAAACTGGACACCTCATATAATGATAGGAATCCAGTCAACCGGAAAGATGAAATGAGCATAAGTTAAAGATTATGAAGTAATTATTAAACCACCAAAGATATAAGTTTCTATAACATGGGAGGAGAGAACATGATTGAAAATTTATTTGTGATTGTACCATCTTCCCTATCCTTGTTTTGTTTGGAAAAAAATACAACTTGTATAAGATGATAATAAGTAGCAAACGTGAAAAACAAGAGTATATTTAATAATTTATTCATTTCCTTGTAAACGGATTACAATACTTTGGAATTAATGAGTTCGACCTTGTAACTGATTTTATAACAGGAAATTAAAGAAATTAAACATTTTTAAAAATAAATAACGGATACAAATTGAAGTCTCTTTTACATTACTAACTGATTTCAGCTGGTGAACTATTTAAACTTAAAAAAGTAATAGTCAGCTGTTTTGTTTTATTTATTTTTTGGGAAGGGAGATCAGTTGTGGTAACTACAAAATCTTTAGACTACTAAGCTGATACCCAATAGTCCATAATTCCAACATCAGTCGATTCGTGATACAGTTCAGACAGTGTTCATTTGATTTTCAATACTTCACTAGGTAACATCAGCCTAGGATGAGAATCATCATCAAATTAAATAGATCTTTGTAAATCTTTGACTTTTACATTAACGAGTAAGCTATCCGCTTATTTTTATAAATGATACGTTGATTATATAATAAAAACGTAAAGATATGTTTCTGACTATTGAGTAGTTATATTACTTATTTTAAAACTTATTAAAACATGTACAATTTTACTATTGCTGACAACATTAGCAATCGTTAAGATATTAGATTGCTGTTCATCTACGAATATATCCTTGTTAACGGTGAATAGTTTTCATTCGACCAAAAGCTTGTATATACTATTAGTGATCTTTCGAACTATCTCAGATTTTTAATAACAGCTTAAGAGAATTTATCACTTAGATAAGACAGATGGAATACTTGCTTATTAGTTAAAACACTGAAGATCATAAATAGTTTCGAATCATCAACATCATAAGTAACGTAGAACCTAATACATATATGCATCATTTTAAGTTGCTATACCCCATTAATAAAGTGAGATGAAATTATTTCAAGACAAATTCCAGAGTAGTAGGAATATTCTCAAATAATTAAAGTTAGATATTGATTTAAATTTTCCAGAACTTTCAACTGCTTTGTGATTGATATAAGTGCAGAAAGACTATCTTTAAAATATCTCTGCAATCAATATAATAGTTTGTGTATCCTATATAAACAACAGTTTGTCAAATTAATTTTCTAGCCTTAAAAAATATCTAACTTCTCGGTAAAGACGTCAAATTGAACTATATTTAGATGAGTTGTTTGTAAAAATTGCTTAGTTTATGAAGTTTATAGTTCGGAGTACCACTGACTGGATAAATATTAAAAAGCTGAGGAGACCTGAACAACTTTCTTGTTCTAATAGGAGACTATCTGGTAAATTACGCTGACAGCTTCTAATACAACCAAACTCTGAATACTCAGTTTTCAAGGAGACCATGATACATTCAGCCTGTCACTATACAATAGCCTATATTTTACAATTTTAAGATAATTGAGTAACTATTTCATTGGTAAAGTACAATTTCACATAACCGAGAAGGCAACTTTTCACTGTGACTGAAAACATTTCTCGTCATATTTCATTATCAGTTGAATACTCATTAAGAAAACAACTCAGTTTCACAAGTATCGCGGGTATAATCCAATTTTAGATGTAATCCGTGACTAAACAGTGAATAATTAATCAATTAATGTATTTGCTGCTAGTTTTAACGACCAATACTTTTATACCTTACCAATTTACAACACTACAAAAGTTAATACCAATGAAAAAAAACTATCCAGAAAATTAAGCAAATTATAAAATCCTCAAGTGTAGATGTAAGATTTTGTAAAGAATTGCGAGTTTCACTGATTATTCATAGAACTGAACAAAATATTTATCCGGTAAACTTTTATTTTTATGTAACAAGGACTGAAATATTTAAAATTGACAAACTATTGAATAGTGACTAGCACAATGTTTGTTTAGTACTGTTTTAGTGCCGATCGAATTCTATCGATTAAATTTCAATGTAGTTCTTAGCCTAAGTAACTCAACATAGTGTGGTGTGTGCTACTGATATCGACAGATATAAATAGTATGTATCATCAATCGAAAGTGAAATGTCCGGTGGCAGAAAGGCTAGAAGATCGAAGGAAAGAGAACGAGAACAGAGGATGATTGGTGTGGAAATGAAAGAACAATGAAATCTGAGTCAATTGACTGATATTTCGCAAATATGGTTCTCAGATTTTACTATGAGATTCTGTAATTTTGTGTTGTGGTTGTCCCCGCACTTGTGTTCGCGTTCACTACAATAGAATACACCATATTTTTCACGTTAAGTGGTTGTCGGAAGTTATCAAATGGTTTCTACTTTATTATTTTCAATGAAAACACTACAAAAATCATTTAGGAGATTTAAACCAAGATAATGGGCACATAATGGTCATTTTCCAATGAAGTTTTCTCAATTTTACTAAATTATTTTATGATCTATTTAAAAGTTTTTGAGATTTTAAGTAACAAAAACGTATTTGAGAAAAATTAATTCTATAAGACAAGATAATAGCGATAAGACAAAGAACATACAATTACAGTGATATTTTAAAGAGAAGTAGACAGTTTTTGGAAAAGTCACGACTTCAACAAATCCAGATGTGAAACTATTGTACAGACAATAATAATACAAATTACTAACATTACTATTATGAAAAGGTTTTGTATAATCCTCTAGGGATTTGTAAGCCAGACTTTCAAAACAGATGTCTAAACATAAGAAGGGTTTTTGAAGTGACAAAGTGTTACTAGACATTTGTAATCTTTTCTATGACTAAGAAGATCGGATAAGACTGAAATTCTTAAACATATATATATATATATATATATATATATATATATATATTAACAACGAATGAATACGATGGTAATAGCTAAATAGGTCTTTCTGACTAGATATAAATTTACATATTAGGCAACCTACCATGTTTAGGGTATGAGGACTAACTTTCTTGACAAATTTTAGTAAATTGCTTAGAAACACATAGTCTAGATACGGAACTTTAAGCTGCTGAGCCGGAGAGTTCGACTAATGACAAAAATAGGCAAATATTTATTAATACGAATATTTTGAATAAAATAAACTTATTAGGTTGTGTACAATAGTGAAATACTCAATGAATTCACTTTACTTTTCAAACAATTTCGTTCTTAACTGAATTAAATAATCAGTACAATTGATGAACTGACTTTACGAAGTCATTTTACTCCTAATAATATTGTATCAAAATGTTATAAGTACTACGTAAATGAATAATAACTATTTATTCTTCATAGTCAACAAATACTGACCTAAATCTGTCGATCAAGAGTATAGCATGATCCCTGTGTCGTGTACTCAATGTGAATTTAATCAACTTGAAGTACTAAGTCTTGACTACTAATGATGTATTTAAAACTACTTGACCTTTAGAAGTGTAGACGAATGAACCGAAAATCACTGCATGAGTATTAACATATTTCCAGCAGGATTCAAAAGTTTTATGAATTGATTTTTTATAAAGTGGAAGTTGAATATTGTAAATTAGTTTCAAAGTAAAATGATATATCAATGAAATACTCAATACACTTCAAGGCTTTTTTCCTTTGTATAATGTTCGATAAAGTGAAATATTTTTAATGAATCAAATCCTTGCGAACTATATAGTTTAACAAAAAAAGAGATTAGACTCACTTTAGAATCACAGGTAATTTTCTCTTTGCATAATTCACATGTATGACTGAATTTACTTTCATAACAGGCAACACAGTATGGTTTCTCATCATTCAGTATATATTTTTGTCCAATTAATGATAGATTACAATTGGAACAATTGAATTGTTCATTCGCATTTACAATGACCTCATCTGACATTTTATTTTAAAGAATACGAAAATGAATTTTGAACAGAAATTAAGATAAAACAACAACAGAACACGAAAATCGGTGTTAAAGCAAGTAACTGAATATTATTCTATTGCCAAGAAGGTCAGTGCTCCGGAAGATTGATTGACTGAACAAAATCTCAATTTATTTTTGTACACTAATAAAAGACTAAATATTGAATTAAGAGAATGATTTAAGATTGAAAATCCAAAGCGTAACTTTACCTTCTTTTAAATGATTCTTGTATTTGATTTTTTAGCCAGTAGACAAACTCTGAAAAAAGGAAGAAAATTAAAGAGAAAATGGAATCTATTACATGAGATTTTTATTTGTTTAGTATTTAAAAAGAAAATGTACAACATAAATAAATGAGACTTATGTAAATGAATTTCACAAGAAACTTGTCACCTTTCAAGATGATATATTTGAACAGAAAAAATTCACTCACCATTATTCTGTACCTTATTTATTGGTTTTTACATGACATTAGTTTTCATTTTATACTCTGATGTTTTTAAAAAAATGTAACTTGTCTGTTTTGAAGCAGAATGTACTTCTTACTGACAAATATCAACACTAACGTCAGGGTTTCCTACTAACTTTCATTAATTACCATAAGAATAATTTCAGATATACTTGTTGATACAATGTGATTACATTTACTATTCATTATTGGGGTTGTGGAGGTTAAGCGTTCACGCGCGAGACTGAAGGCCCTGGGTTCAAATCACGCGAGCGGGATCGTGGATGCGCACTGCTGAGGAGTCCCATACTAGGACGAAACGGCCGTCCAGTGCTTCCAGGTTTCCAACGGTGGTCTAACATCAGTCGATTCATGATCTCAATCAAAAAATTTGCTATTCAGTTGAGTTTTTTCTCTGAGATTTTAAAGTATATGGGATTCTAATTCATTGTTAATATTTATTTCTTGTCTATAATATGAAGTTGCATATAGATTGTGGGACTAGAAAAATCTATTTCAATGAGATAATGATTATGCATACGAAAAGAAAATTCAATGTATTTCATTAGTTGGCTGGAATTAAACAGCTCTGTACTAAAAATTAGTCATGAGAAAGCTTTTATCACTTAATACTATTATGAAGTTACATCAAGAATAATCTAAACATTACCAAAGGAATTATTTACACAGAGAGTACCTCATTGTAGCAATTTTAATTAACCGTGTAATAAAAGTAGAATGTTATATTCTTACAACATCCTCTATCTTCAGTTCATTGTCATTAAATCAATAAAATCTCATTATTTGTTTGTTTTGAGGTATAATACAAACAGGTCACTCGGCATTACTGATAATATATGACAGTATTTCATTATGTATGCACATACAAACGTACAAATCACGATAAACACAAAAAAGTGTATAAAATTTATTAAGTTATAAGAAATCAGAGTATTCCCTTCTCGTATCTAACCATCAAATAATTAATAAATTATGACTTCTGTTAATATTTACTTACCTATTTATAGAATAAATTAAAATGCTTAACTTGAAATCGACAATAGAGAATAACAACTTTCAGTTTACAGTATCCAGGCAGAAAAATATAAACCTGGAATATATATGCAGCCCTTTAGAAGTTACATTTCTCTTTCACCACATGAATAGACTTTCTTATAGTTTCGTGACTTTCAGAGATTATTTTCTTGCAAGTCAAGCTTTCAGTGTCAGTTTATTGTTTAATATTTAATAAAGTCATGTTGAATAATATGACTGTTACTAATATAAAACACGAAAAGTCTGTAATTTTAAAATTTATCCCAATTCAAAGTTAACTAGAACGACAATGAAAGCTGAATTTTTTTAAGTCGTTTAACTAATAAAAGAAAATACACACATCTTAAAGTAGAAAAAATTATGATATTAAGTCAACAATGGTGTTGTGGTGTATGCTACATATGGTAGTAGTATGTAACACCAATCAAAAGTGGAATGCCTAACAGCAGAATATTGAGAAGACCAAATTAAGGGAAACAGGAATATAGACGGAGGGTAAATGTAATAACAACAGGAATGAAGGACTGATGAAGTTTGTAACAGACAACTGATTGAAGATGTGCAAATGAAATATTTAATTTCTAATTTTCATATTTTACTAAAACACTTCATTTAGGCGAATTGAAGATTACTAAAATAGTTTGAAGTTTTTTGCCAAAATCTTTTATAAGATTAATGAATTGACATTATATTTAGCTATATCATACTTAATGATCATATGAATAAGATAGAATTTTGCAGACAAACACTGTTTCAAGATATTTCTCATCATATATATTCATATCAGCAAGAGAATGATTGAAAGTCAATGGATACTAGGCAGTAGTTTTATACATTGTTTCAATCTTTTGAAGGAAGGGAGGGCTTAAACACTCACCACTCGATATCTCAATCAAGGATACTACCCATAGATTGTGTGAATAGCAACTGACTTCATATACAAACGAAACGATCACATCAATTGATTATGGGATGATAATCAATTTCGTATTCTGTTTATTGCTTGATACTAACTAAATTCTTAAATGGAGTGATAAACCAATGTAGAAATTACCTTAATAGGTCTTGTTTTTAATAATCAAATTTTGTAATTAACAAAATATGGTGAATTGAGTTCTCATTTTTGCAATAAATAATTATAATTGAAAAAGAGTAGATATAGTGGATAAGGTTTCTAAAAGCCATAACATTGATAAAATTTTAAAATGAATTTGTATGAAAAAATGTCAACCTTCATCTTGAAATGACATCAATTGAAGAACTATTAATGTCCAGACAGTTGTTTATAAGGCATCCCAGAGACAGGAATCAATGACAGATAGAATCAACGTTTAGAAGTAGATCAAAACATTCACCAGTGATCTTAGAAAAGGATCATTCTTCTATTTCACAAACTGAAAAAAGTCAAATACGTTGATCTTTGAAATTTCAATTAATTGGTCTGACAATATCATGTTTACTGTTAAACTTGGCTTCTTAAGTTTTAATCCATGTGTATATACATCTGTGATAATATACTAATGACGATATAAATTCAATATTCCATGATTTTCGGCAATTCTCCAATTGATGTCAATTCATTATCAAGACTTTTCAAACAACTGGTTCCCTTCACAAAAATAAACAAGGCGAAAATGTGGATAGAAAACAATGAAACACAAATGAAATCAAATAAAGTAATTTAACTCTTTCTTTCTATATATTTATCTATAATTTTGTATGCATAATCCCAGTTTTCATTATCGAATTTACAAGAAAAAAAAAACCTGCAATCTCTCCAACCAATTTTCATATACAAACACAATCGTATATGTAGATATGAGTGTTTATTCTTTGAACAGTTGGTTGATTAATTTTTCTCTCTCTTTTTTGAATATACAAATGAAGTTCAATAATAAAAAAAACTGAAGTAAATACATTTTATAGAATCGACATTAAATTATCGTTAAAAATAATTACTGAAATTAACATATTTCAATTGAATAGAAATGATTCTACTAATTCCGGTCACAACAATGATGTATAGATTTGGAAGAACTCTTCCTGTTAGAAATAAAGCAATTTAAAAGGTAGAAGCTAAGAAACGTTTTTTTTTGTTAAAAAAAAAGAGTAGAGAAAAGAACACATGAAAAAAGAAACAAACGGAATAGCTACAGAGTTTTATGTTAGAGATACGAATAAAAATATTGAAGATAAATTTGTAAAAAGAAATGCAGAAAAGAATACTGAAAGAAAAAAACAACACCGGAATTATTTTCAGAGAAGTGGATTTACACTTAAAATACAGCATTATATTATCCCTTTAGAGTAAATGAAACGCGGTAATCTATGTAATCCAGCAAGCTCGTTTTGTTCAATGAGAGATTTGTCAGCTGAATGTAATAGGTTCTCTGGACTGCTGTTCACGTTTAGGCTAGAATCCACAACTTTTCACTTGATATACTAACGCATTATCCACTGAGCTATTGCATCCAGATAACCAATAACTTGTTTAATGGATATGATGTTTAAATCATTACTGGTAAGGGTTTGAGTTATTCCATTAACAAAGACTGATCAAGATTTACTCATAAATACCAACAAGACGATAACTCAAACCCTTACTGACAATGATATAAGTAATACACTAGGTGTACATATTTCACTATATTCAGTAAATATTAGAATAATTTTTCCAAGTCCTTCATTTTAGTTAAAAAATTTGCCAATATTACTCTCTCTAAAGAGAAATGACCGTTTACAATATTAAAATCTAGTTTAGATTTAGATCATGTAAATTAAAGCGTTTATTATACATTAATAATTTTATAAATTAGATTATTTTAAGATTAGTCTTCATTATTCAGTAATATACCGATCAGAGAGTGTTCAAAAGCATTAATACTACAGAACAATAAAAAAGATTGAATAAATTAATTATTCACTTCAATCTCGGCTTTTTTAAAAACTGATTATTTAAATATTATCTTTCTATGAATGTTTACTAGCTTCATCTTATTTCAGAATGAAGTGATCATTGTTCCCAGTCACTTAGCATTCGTACACAGATGGATTTTCATCAACACATAAAAGTATTGTGATATAGTAATAGCTATTTCTAGAACATCTACAGGAATGCTTTACTATGTAAAATATGTTAAACCGATAAGTAGCTTTTTTCTTCAATTCCTGAAGTTGAAGTATGTATGTTGTTCAGTAATTTGATTAGTCAAATTCACTAATGGTTGATAATTTTTCGTTTGATTTTCCAGAGGTTTTCAAAACTCCAATATCATTTATATCTAAATGACAAAGCTTTAATTTGTATATCACAACTAATTTTTATACAAAAACTTCAATCCTATTAAAAAACTAATTCTTTCCAGTTTAAATAATTTGACAGAAGATTAAGATCTTAAAGGTTCATCTATTAGATTAAACAAAATTTTGGGTAAAACTTGAGCTAATATACTTATTTATCAATATGGAC